ACCCCGATCTATCTTACTCCTGATACCTATCAGGAGTAGATAATAGGGATTCCCTATAGTTCCCTATAACAAGGCTCGACACTAGCGGTGGTCTTGCCGGTGAGCCCCGGCACCAAACTTGTTGATTTCGGGCCACCAAAATTCACAAAGTTAAAATTTTGGTGGCCCGAACGCGCCACTAAAATTTCAAGTGTCTTTTGATAAAAATAATTGTTTCTTACGTGCTATCTCATTTCAAAGAGAGCGAATCAATTCGCGTCGAGGATCGGGCACACGTAGTACGTCAGCATTTCACCGCGGCATACACGCGGCGCATGCGTTTACTCCGTCTTACTGCGGCTGCAACTAGCACGTTTTTCGCTGCGTTGACTGCGTATCCGGCCTCACGCTCTGCTAGACAAATGTCACGCTCTGCGACGACGAACAGTCGGGCCCGCGAACCAGTCTAGCCAGAGGTCAAAATCTGAGCGGCGCAGAGCCATAGCATATTTTGCAACGCGCCAAGCATACATTGTGATTACCTCGTATCAAAGCGAACCAGAAAATGCGCGTTTCTGGCTGAAATTCGATTGCCGTTGGAATGCAGATAATTCAAAATGTATGCCTCAATCATCAATGTGCAGTGTGCTTGGGGTTTGCTTTAAAGACTGTGCAAGTGCATCAGGACGGCCCCAATTTTCAAATAATATACAATACGAGATTGAAATAAAGATTCTTATAATGTTTTTCTTTTTTTTTTTTTGGGCCACCAGATTTATTTTCGGCGAGCCACCAAAAATTGAAAATCAATGATTTTGGATGGCCCGATCGGCGCACTAAAAACAAAAACAGTTAGTGTCGAGCCTTGCCTATAAATATATTAAATCCCTTATAAGTATAATATATATTCCTCTATATGAATCCTATAAAATCCCTCATTAATATAAATTAATCCACTATATTATAATAATATATATATAATAATATAATCCCTATAATCCCCTATAATCCCTATATTTCCCTAGAATTCTCTATGGGATTGTCCTAGCCCCCCCCCCCTTACGCAGCTGATTCACAACCTGCTTACATTTTTTTACAGTGATTGAATTGCAATCGCTGCAAATAAACAGCAATCGTTGACATATCCGTGCCAGCATGCCGGATATGTACGTACGCTGTGCGTAGGAAACGAGATGACGACCACTGATCCTACTCATACCAGCTGCACAGCGGAGCAACGAGAGCGACTTCCTTGTGTACCCGCGCGTGTGTATGATCAGGCAGCGTATGGGTGTAACTTCCCTTCCCCCGTGTTTATACACACTGACCTAACCGAGCAAGCATGCGTTTACATTGACCTGGTAGCTTATACTGTCAGATCAGCAGGTTGGAAAGTAAACCAATAGGCATGATACGGCAGAGGGAAAAATTGAAAACTATTTAAACAACCTGCATAAGGAAGTGTTCGGCGAATTTGCAGTGTACATTCCAGCTAATTCTTAGAGTAAACAGGGGCGCCCCACGCGCTACATGTGTGTGTATACGTCGATGTGTGTGTGTACCGCGAACATTTGTACCCTTACTCGCTTTCGTGAGAATTTATTGCACGTGTATGCGTGTGTATCTGTGCTGTGACTCAGTCTTGCCAGACGCCTGTATTTGCACGGCGGTGGGAACGACGGTTTGCTAACGGACTTACACCGATAACAACTTACTCAGAGCCTATACTACGGGGCACGCAATGCGCTCATAATTCTACGACGCATGTTGGCGTGCGATTCGCATTGTACGTCAGCCGTGATCAAAACTTTGCTAATTGTACGTGTTTCTGGCAAAGTTGAATGCGCGACAGCAGACAAGAACGAAGCAGGAAAGCGGCAGCACACGCGCTAACGAATGCGTGAATCGGCGCTACGACCAAAATTACAAACGCGCCGAAGCAGCAATGAAGAGGTTGTCGCAGGGAGCACACGTACTAACGAATGCGTGAATCGGCGCTACGACCAAAATTATAAACGCGCCGAAGCAGCAATGAAGAGGTTGTCGCGGAAGGTGACGAAGAAGCGACGGGAGAGAGCGGCCGCAGCAGACGCGCAACTCAGGGAGAGCCTCGGCATCCCGCCCCTGGAAGATTCGAGGGTGTCCCCGCAGGAAGACTCAATATTCCTGCCCGCACTGCACCACGAACACGTGGTGGCGCTGCACGACTATGCCGCCATGTTGGATGACGAGCTGACCGTTGCCGCGGGCGACGTCATCGACATCCTTCACTGGCAGATCCACGCGCCGCTCCCACGCGGCAACCGCGCCCTCTACCGTCGCGCAGAGTACTACGACATCACGCAACCGCGCGGCGCATTCTGGTGGTGGGCGGAGCGCGTGGGAGCCGGGCGGAAACGGCAGTGCGGGTACGTCTACCGGCCGCTGTGCGCGGGCGTGCGCTCTACACAGGCAAGCGACTGGTACGTAGGTGGCACCTTCGGCCGGAAGGACGCCGAGCACTGGTTTGCATATCTGCACAGCCCCGTCGGCACGTTCTGCCTGTACAAGTCGCTCCCCGACGAGGAAGGACTGCTAAGCAGCGCCCCCAAGTGGACGCTGTCGGTTGTCGCTGCCGCCACGCGTGACGCGCCTACCGTCGAGCATTACAGTGTGTACAAGACAACGGAGGCTGCAGGCAGCGACCTCGCTCGCGCGTCGTTTGTCATCCGTCGCTCGCCGCGGGATGAGTTCGGCCGCGACTGGAAGTTTGAGACGATGCACGCCCTGGTAAAACACATGAGAGACAACAGCGTCCTGTGCTGCCACCTGGGGCAGCCTTGCCCTCGCCCTCCAGGTGTGATTTTTGAGACGAGACTGCCGATGGAAGTATCTTGGAGGGCAGTCGTGACAGAAGAGGAGATAGGGCGGGGCGACCGAACAGTGGTGATGAGTGGACACATGCACGTGGGAAAAATATCAAAACAGGTACCTTAGTCCCACTCGATCTATTTATCAATCCATCCATCCATCCGTTCATTCATCCACCCATCCACACATCCATTCATCCATCCAGCGAGCCATCCATTTATCCACCCCACCCATTGTTCCATCCATCCGTCTTCCCGATCGCATGCGCACGTGCACGCACATACACACATAATGAAAAAATATCTTGTAAAAAAGTAATTGTAAATATCTTGTAAAAGTAATTTCAAATAATTTAAAGGGAGAGTTTACTCTAAGTTCTAGGGTTATTTTCAGCTAATTTAGGTTATAATTACGCTACATAAAAAGTTTCATGGTTCAATCACCATTGGAAATATTTAAAAAAAAAAGGTTTCAAAACTAATGACTACAGTTTGATTACAATGACGGTGGTGCCACTCAAAGCGCACGATCTGATAAGTTGCACAAAACCACTTTCCAGCCAAGGGCTACAGACGGAGGGTGTTTCTTATTTATTCATTTAAAAGCAAAAGGATTGTAATATCTTATAAACGACATATAGTTTCAGTTATATGGATAAATTTGCCCTAAAATGAATATCGTTCGGTTAAATAGCATTTAGGTATAAATATAATTGCACTTTTGTGATTAGCCCTCGGTCTGTAACGTGCAAAATAAATTGTCAAATACGCAACTTTTTCAGGGTGGCAGCACGGTCGCGGGTGTCATGGCGCCGTTCAAATTTCGTAGCGTTGATGTGTAATTAATTATAACAATTAAATTAGGTATCTGGTAACAAATACGTGTGGGTATAGACGATTTGTTATACAGTAAGTACAGTTATATGCAGTAAAATCCTAGAGGCTACTGTCCCTTTAACTAAACGTAAATTTTGTTCAACTAAAAAATGACAATCTAAATTTCCTAATGACCACAATGGCTTTTCTCACTGACGGCCATGCTTCTCTCACTGCTGCAGGTTGCCATCAAGCAGCTGCTGTGGCCGGACAGCCGTATGGACGCACTCGCCACGCTCAGCACGGTGCGCCGGGACGCCTGCTACCACCGCCACCTGCTACAGGTCTACGCGTTCACGCACGCACCCGGCGCCCCCTGCCTGCTACTCGAGATGGCTACGGGTGGAACCCTGCTGGGGCTTCTCCGCGGCGGCATCAGCGCGCGGCGGCGAGTGCACGTCGCGGCGCAGGTCGCGAGCGCCATGGCGCATCTCGAGGAGCGATGCATCGCGCACGGACGCCTCTGCGCGCGCAACGTGCTGCTAGACGCGCGTGGGGACGTGAAGGTGTCTGACTACGCCGCGCCGCGGGGCCGCAACAACGTGAGCGTCTGTGAGTACGCTGCACCACGCCACGACCGCGACGGCATGCAGCCACGCTCACTGAAGGTCGCCAAAGGTCGCCCTAGTTTAGATGACGAGCGGGACTTCAAGGGGATGTGCAAAACAGACAGCATCACAAGTGAGGTCGAAGATGCCGATTACGGTTTAGGGTCAACACAAAATGGCTACGACAGCAGAGAGATTACAGTAGATTGTCAAAGCGCAGAAGCACTCAACAATGACAGCCAGTGCTTAGAAACAATCAAATTTGGCGGGCAGTGCTCAGAAACAATCAAAGATGGCGGCCAGTGTTCAGAAACAGTCAACGATGGTGGTCAATACTCAGAAGCAATCATTGATGGTGGCCAGTGCTCGGAAAAGAGCAATGATGAGCGGCAGTGCTCAGAAACAGTCAAAGATAGTGGCCAGTGCTCAGAAACAGTCAAAGATGGACAGCAGTTCTCAGAAACAGTCAAAGATGGTGGCCAATGCTCAGAAACAAGCAAAGATGGCAGCCGGTGCTCAAAGGCCATCCATGCTGGCCATCAATACTCGGAAACAGTACAAAACGCCTCCCTGACATTGAACGCAGACACGCTTGGCTCTAGCAGCGCCGATAACAACAACAATGGCTGCTGGCAAAATGATACTCTGCAGTGTTCTGCCCCTGAAGCCATCCAGGACAACGTCATCTCCATCAAGTCAGACGTGTGGAGCTTCGGTGATCTTCTTCACGAGATCTTCACTGGAGGGGAAGAGCCATATGCGGGGATGACAGGGCGTCGGCGGCTGGAGGCTCTGCTAGGTGGCAACCGGCTCGCCAAGGCTACAGGATGCCCGCTAAATGTATACGCCATACAGATGGCGTGTTGGCATATTCTACCTCAGAAGCGACCAACCTTCAAACACCTGCACGTGTTCTTCGATTGCTACATTGTTGATGTGTAACATGTATGATGTGATGCGTTAACATAAGTACGGGTGCAGCATAAGCACTGGCACCACGACCAAAATAATGATATCTGATCTAAATATTATGGAGGTATTAATGTAATCAGGAGTGAATAAAAACAAACGAGTGTACAAGACTCATTTATTGTATATATACAGGGTGCGAAATTAAAGGGGAGTCCGGAGTCAAATACTCCCTGATTTACTGTCGGACTCCCTGATTTGACATATGCCAGTATGCAGGAGTCCGTGTGACTCCATGAAAATTCTGCCATACTATAATAACTAGTTCGTTGCAGAGCACAGCCTCGTGGAATAACCGTATTTTTTCAGCAAATGTCCAAAGAAAATTTGGCAGACGTGCAACCGCATGAATCTTCAAAATAAGCACGTGTTATTGTTAATATCTTTATACAGTTTTTCACCGCTCATACGCTCATACGCTCGTTGCTGCTGCTCGCTCACATGTACACGCTCGCTGGCTCGCTGCGCTGGCTGGCTCGCTGGCTGACGCGCTAATATCGATCGCGCGAACACACGAACACACTAACACACAAACACACGCACACGAGAGCGAAAACATAACCTCCTCCAAATCCGTTGGGCAGAGGTAATCACAGGTAGATTTAGGCTAACCTATGTTAGATTTCCAATAATTAAGAATTGCACAGTCCTCTGTTACGTTATTCACCCCTGCTGTGATGATGAGATATAACCACAGCACCTGCATGCAAAGGCATCAAAAAGCTACAATGTGATACACGTATGATTCCTGTGATCTACATGCTTTCAAATGATATAAACTTGGTCCATCTATGGAACATTATATGATCAGGAGGGAATAAAAACCAATTACACATTTGTACACAACAATTTGTAAAACAACATTCGTTTTTACTCCCAACGTGATAAATATATAGTTTCTCGATTAACTAGTATATATATATAATAGATATATTGTCCTTCCACCTACAAGTTAATGAGATATGATACATGATTCTTACATAAACCAATTATTGAATGAGAAATAAAATATAATTCATTTACTGATCGATTGAAGAGCAATAAAATATATTCCCTATACCAACAGATTAGCAATGTACAAAAAATGGTGCAAGCTGTGTGGATATGCTATTGATCATATGTTATCACGGTTCTCCCATGGATTTTCAGAGATCATGCCAGGTAAGTGAAAATCCCCCTCCCCCCGAAAGCTAATTGGAGTCAATTAAGAGTGTGATGGTGGGTACAATTTGTCCCAATGCACAGGTAGACTCGATCAGCTCCGAGACGTATACGCCATTCTGTGAAATCACCGGATGACTGTGTTGGTATATTGCAATGTAAACGCAGCTGGAAATTAAGGCATGTCGATTAGGCAGGTTGATGTAGGAGGAAATATCGGGTGGCGCAAATTAGCTTCAGTTTTGAATGCATTTCGCACCGACATAAGTTTAAGGCCTGGGGAGAATAGATCGATTTGCTATGTTATCATATACTGTAATCCAAGAGAAATCAGCATATTTATGTTTATAAATATATCGTGAACAATAAATATATTTATACAATCCATGCACGTGCTAAACCACCAGTAGGAACACTGTAAAAAATAACTGACTATCTGACAGCACGAGCTGTCTATGTTATCTAATGCATAACATCACATCACATACACGAGCATGCACAGATATTACCCAAATACATACAATGCTCTGCAGTTATAGAGAACGCCTACAGTAGGACAATAAAATGGAGAAGATAAGTAACTAACGAATGCGCCTGAGTGAGACAATCACGTCCCCTTGGCTATTGTTGCTTAGTCAGTCAAGCTCATCCCTTATCTAAGTGGACATGCTTATTTGCATTCCAAAATCCCACTGTTTGCTTTTTAGAACATCCTAGTGCAACACTGACTTAATAAGGCTGCCTGTCATGCAATCATGCCAGATCGATAGATCAACTATACATAACCTAATAGAGGCTGCAGGCAGAGACAGAAAATTAAGGTAGAGAGTACAAAAGGCACCTGCTGTAAAAAATCCATATTAGAAAAAAATTCACTCTGTGCCTGTCCGTGTAGAAACTCATGGTGCATGGTTATACCTGTATGTGAGAACACAGGTGTGGTATGTTAGACAGCACTAAACACACCTGTATGTGATTGCATGGTGCACCTGTACATGAGATCACAGGTGTGAAATGTTAGACTAGTGATTGGTGCACATGTATGCTATATCACAAGTGTGGTATATTAAACAGGGCAGTAAGTGTGACACCTGTACGTGAGATCACAGGTATGAAATGTTTCACAGTGACTGGTGCACCTGCATGCGAGATCACAGGTGTGAAATGTTAGATAATAATTGGTGCACCAGTCCGCTAGATCGTATGTGTGGTATGTTAGCCAGGGTGCAACTCACCTGTATGCCAGAGGATTCACAGCTGTGATGGCACTCCTTGCACACTGCAGTGCCATCATCACATGTTTTGTATAAAGCTGCTGGTATTCGTCACGTGCTTGCGCCTGCATATCCATCTCATCATATCTGACCTTTGACCCCGATGTATCAATGCCGACACAAGCTGACCTCGTTCTCTCGCAATCTTGCGATTCGTGGCTGACCGATTTGCATAGGTCCGATTTGCTGCAATTGATGTTGGTTACTTTTTAAAAATACAGTTGACTCCAACAGGCATGTCACTCTTCTGGTATAAGGATGTGACCATATGTAAAGCTTAACGAAACAAAAAATGTGTCGCGGCATCAAAATTATAGAGTGGTGCTAAAGATATAACAATGAATAAAACATTTACATCGTCACAAACGTGATTCAAAGATGCTTGTAGTGCTAGGATGTACACTAGTTGGGTAGCGAATAGGAACACAGTAGGTGAGTGTAAATTTGATAGAAATGGTATAAATTAATAGTATATAGACAATATATACACCTGGCATAAGGCAGCTAACAAAGAGTGCTAAGACACGTGGTGAGACAAAGAGAGACCAAAATAGCTAAATACGAATCAGTTTATTTACAGTACTTCTCTTATACCGTTATCCAGTGCCATGCCCCCAAACAAGCAAGTATATACACGTAACCACGGATTGACGATGTCTTTGTACTTGCTATATGTGGCCAAGACAAATAGTTTTATGTCTATTTTTATTTCATTAACTGGGTTTTCTTTCTTTCCAGCTTGAATGCTAGCCTTTTATATTGTTTTAGCTAGGTTTCCCTTCCTCTCCTCCAATGTTAACCTGCCAGTAAACTACATTTAGAACTACATTCAGCCAAGCCCATGCATCGTAAAGTGATGTTCTTAATGAATGGGTGACATATAGGAAGCACTTTCGTTGAAGCCTGTAGTGTATACAAGCAAGTTATTCGTACCAGTTTTCACTATTGCGGCGTGACCTTCTAAACTCTGCTTGAATCTTGTGTTCGATGGCAGTGCTATGAAAGATGGCATCCATGACAGCTTGCACAGCACAGAATGCAGAATAGATACTAACACCAGCATCAGCCTCAGCCATGGTCACAGACGCCCGTTTTTCTATAAAGACAAACAAATACAGACTTATTTCCTGTCAGTAACAGAGTGTGGGTGGGAAGTTACACAACTTAGTATAGCAGATGGGGTCGTTGTCGTATCAGGTACTACAGATATGTACCCGAGGTAGTTTTAGGTTGTTTAGTATTATGTTTATA